CTGCTGGCAAAAGACTTTGCAGCCGCTCTGCCACGCATGAAAAAGCCGGGCATGAGCGTCGCCCGGGCCTCGACATGGTGCACCGCCCAAAGTGTGGTGGCCCAGCCACGTGTCCATCCACGGCAGCAACTCGCGAGAGATGCAGTGGGCACCAGCTCGCCAGATGACCGGGCACAATGCGATCGGGCGGTACTCATCCAGGCGCTTCGGCACCAGGGCAATCAGTGCCCGGCGCCAGAGTCGAGGGACGTACTGCGTGGAGAGCACCGCATTCCACAAAGTGGCCGCCGCTTCCCACCACTGCACAGGAAGGCGGAGGAGAAGCTCCGCCGACCATCGGTCGGGTCCCATTGCCTTCCCCCGCATTGCCTTGGTGGCCCGCATCAGAGCCTCAGCCTCGACCTGGAGCACGATGTCCGATTGCGGCCCGCCCGGGACACGGTCAAGGATGCGCTGCACGGCATCGAAGTTGACAGGGGACTCCGGCTTCCAGTGCTGCAGCCACACTTTGCCATGCTCCTCGACAATAGAGGCAGGGTGAACAGAGGAAGGGACACCAGCAGGGGCCTGAGGAGATTGCTCCATGGCCAACTGATGGTCAGCTTTGCGCTTGACCCAAGCGAGGGCACGAGAAGGGTCCTCCTCAACACGGCGACGCCACCTGCGCACTCTGGCCTCCGTCTCCTGCTGCTGAAGCTCGGCATGCAAATGAGAGATCACCTGGGTGGCACCTTCAAGGTTGGCAGCATGTATCACGGGCAAGTCGGGAAAAGTGGCACGCAGGAGCCCAGCCCGGCGGCCCACCGCACGCCACAACTTCTGACAGTGGGGCTGTTGCCGCAGTTGGTGCAATTGCCCAAGCAACTTGCGAGAAGAACGAAGGGACTGGGACTCATGACCCTGGGGGCCGACACGATGGTGTGACTCGTGGCGGGCACAAGGGAGCCAGTGGTCGCTCCTGCGGGCACCGGAGGCATCGAAGAGCGAAGTGGCACCCAGCGTGCGCTCGGCCACGTCTGACAAGAAGGCCCAGGCTTCATCAAGAGACCCAGCTGCAATAGAACTCTCAAAGTGTGCGGCATCCCAGACCCTACCAAAGTTAGACAAGATGTCATCAGTGGCCGTGGCAGGGAGCACACGAAACTTAGGCATGGAGAAGCTGTCGGCACGGCTCAGGCACCGCGTTTCGTAGAAGACGCACCCATGGTCCGAGAGGTTCGGGCGCTCGAACTGCTTGACAGCCGACGCAATGATGGACCAATGGGCCAAGCCAAAATCGATGCGTCGGGTGCGCGTGGGATTTGTTGGGCCAGCTTGGGTCCAGTCCGCCTCGTCCAGAGACCGGAGCTCGCCATCGCACAACAGCTGCACCACAGCCTGCTCAGACTGGTCAACATTGAAGTCGCCGAGCAAGATGTGGGGGCCCCCAAAGGTCGCAGCTGCACGCCTAACCTCACCTAAGGCCTGGGCTGTGGCATCTGGCTGACCAGGGAAGCCGTAGAAGGCCACCACAAGAGTGATGCACTTGCTGCCAGCAGCCTGCATCTCAAAAGCACCTGCAGCACAGCGCACAGCCACATGCGGAGGAAGCTTAAGGTTCACACGATGCATGGGGAGGGAGGCGACCAAGGCCACCCTATGCACACCCTTGGCAGCATCAATGTCGCTAAGAACAGCCCGGTAGCCGTGGACACGCCAGCGCTCACCGAAGCCCTGGGCCGACAAAGGGTTGATGTCAGCCTCCTGAAGAGACAAGAGCTCAGCCCCACACGACTGAAGGAAATCGGCACACAGGTCCACTTTGGAAATGGCCGTGCGGTTCGCATTGATGCTCAAAAGCTTGATGAACACGGCAAGGAGGGGATTCGCGTGGAGATGGCAAGCTTGGCAGCTGCGGCAGCACGGAGCACCTGGGAGCAGAAGTCGGGATCCCCTCCGGCACGCCGGGCCCACGCCTCGATGGCATCAAGTTTCTGGATCCGCTTCTGGGTGTTGCTCTGCGACTTGCACCGGCCCTCGCTATGCTGCTTGGCGGCGGCCAGGTCCCTGGTGCACTCACCGCACCGGAGGCACTTCCAACCATGCTCAAGGAGGACATGCTGGACCCGGGTGCTGCGTTTCTCACACCTGGCTCGAGGCCACACAAAAAGCTGCATCTGGTCTCCAAAGCGAGGGGTCCTGACTTGAGCGAACACGGCCTTGGTGAGGTTGCGCTGGCGGCACCCTTTGGCATGCGCCTGGCGATCCTTGGGCCCGGTTTGCGGGAGTGCCGCAAGACGCTGCCACTCAGCCTTGGAGACCTCGGGGTGGGCCTGTGCACGATGCTGGTTTCGCAGGGCATAGTAGGAGAACCGAGAAAGGTCCTTCCGAGTCTCTTGCGTGATGCCCTTGTTGCACAGAGGGCAACGCCAGATGAACTGAGCCCTTGGGCCGCAGACCCGCGTGAGCATGGGTCGTCCGATGTCCGGCTGCAGGCCCTGCCCCTCATGGGCACGCTGGTAGTGGTTGTGGCGGGTGTGGTAGTACTGCTGGTTGCTCGTGGCCTTGCGCTTGTAAGGGCACAAGTTGCACCGAAAAGTGAGGTCAGCCGGTGCCGTGGCGTGGGCCAGCCAAGGGCAGCGCTTCGGGGGCGCACGAGCTCGCTCAAACTCGGATTCATCGAGGGCCTCAATAGTGCCCGTAGAGGTGCAGGTGAAAACGGACGAAGTGCACAGCTCTACCGCCTTGCGCTTGGTGCCTGAGGACCTTGCCTGGGCCGCGGCCTGTGATGACCTCGCCTGTGGCTCGCCCCTGGGCTTGGTCTGAGAACCATGCGATGCCTTTACCTTGGACCTGGCACTGAGTGAGCACGGCCGGGAGAATGCCTGCACCTTTGCCTGCGACGGCACCCGGCAGCCTGAAGACCTTGCCTGTGGAACCTGTGACCTGGGCCGCCTACCTTGCAAAGAGGGCTGGGCTGCGATCGAGGGCCGCCCCGCGGCACTCCCCGAGGTGCTCGCCTGCATCGAGGTGGTCCAAACCGATGCCGGGCGGGCCTGGGATTTTGCCCCTTCGTCGTCGATGACCGAGGTCCACTGAGAGGAAGGCCGGGACCGACCACAGGCAGCAGAGGAGGCAGTGAAGACCGATGGGGGCCCACGGCCACCAGCACGCAGGCCAAAGACGGGTCCAGCTGTGATCTGGGCATACTCACTTGGATACTTCTTGTGACCCTCGGGCGGGAGCATGAGATCCACGTGGTTATCTTCATACCACAACACCAGCATCTTGGCAGCTTTGCCATGAAAGGCGTAAGGAGAAAAGTTGAGGCCCGCCGGCAGCACGACGATTTTGATGTCCAGCACACGGCCCAGGGCCCTCAGCTCGACATCCGAGCAGTACGCCCTCTCCTTCTCCATGAGAGTGAGGTAGGCGGAGAAATCCCGGTCCTTGACCGGCTCGCCGTCCGGCCCTTTGCCGTCCCATTAAGGGCTTATGATTCGATTCAAGCCTCCGATTTGATTCAAGCCTCCAGTCGGGACCTGGTGCCTGGTGTGGCTTAGACTGGTATGGTTGTCGCCCGAAGAAAGCCTGCAAAGCAGGCTTCTGGTAAGCTTGAAGGCAGTACTACTCGTAGTAGTAGTAGTAGTAGTAGTAGTAGTAGTAGTAGTAGTAGTAGTAGTAGTAGTAGTAGTAGTAGTAGTAGTAGTGGCAGTAGTGGTAGTGGTAGTAGTAGTAGTAGTAGCAGTAGTAGTAGTAGTAGTAGCAGTAGTGGTAGTGGTAGTAGTAGTAGTAGTAGTAGGAGCAGTAGTAGTAGTACTAGTACTAGTGCTAGTGCTAGTGCTAGTGCTAGTACTAGTACTAGTACTAGTACTAGTACTAGTACTAGTACTAGTACTGATACTAGTACTAGCACTAGCACTAGTTCACTAGTACTAGTGACAGTGCTTGTGCTAGTACTAGCACTTGTACTAGTACTAGTACGAGTACTAGTACTAGCACTAGCACTGGCACTCGGACTCGCACTAGCACTAGCACTAGTACCAGTACTAGTACTAGTACAGTCTGGGACTAGCACTAGCACTAGCACCAGCACTAGTACCAGTACTAGTACTGGTACTAGTACCAGTACTAGTACTAGTCAGTTCGGAAGATACACTTGACAAGAGCTATGATGAGTTAATTCCGATACTCGGGTCATAGTGACGTCCCATTTGCAAGCTCCGCATAATCGGAAAGCTCGAATCCAGTGACTATTTCCACGCAGGAAGGTCGAATTCAGTGCCCGTGGAGTCGTATTCAGTATACTTGATAAGAGCTACGATGAGTTAACTCCATTTGCAAGCTCCGCGTTATCGGAAAGGTCGAATTCAGAGATTTTTACCACGGCGGAAGGTCGAATTCAGTGCCCGCGGAGTCGATTTCAGTGCCCGCAGAGGAGGCAGATTGTTGACACTGTCGGAATTATAGAGACACTTGACACTGTCGGAATGACCGCCAAGTGGCTGCGGAGGAGACTGTTGTTGGGGTATGGGATTTACACGAAAGGTCGAATTCAGAGATTATTACCACGGCGGAAGGTCGAATTCAGTGCCCGCGGAGTCGAATTCAGTGCCCGCAGAGGAGGCAGATTGTTGACACTGTCGGAATTATAGAGACACTTGACACTGTCGGAATGACCGCCAAGTGGCTGCGGAGGAGACTGTTGTTGGGGTATGGGATTTACACGAAGTCTGGGCCATTTCTACCGGGGGAGGAGCTTTCGGAAGTGGCACTTCCGGAACCCCCCCAGAAGCGGAAGCCCCTTCAGAAGTGCCCCCTAAGAAGCCCCCCCGGAGGCAGAAGCAAGGACAGCCTGCATGGTCGGAAAAATTTGCTCTCAAATCCTGTCGTAGTCACATGTCAGTAGCTGCATAAAGAAGCAACTGGCCCACCACCAGACCAATCAACACCCACTTACAGCTTCAGACATCACCGACCGCAACACCGAAAGAGTTGATCTTCACCTTATGATGGCGAAGATGAAGAAACCTTCGGCTTCAGCAGGGCACGGCCACTTCATACGTTGCAGCAAGGACGGTTGCACTTCTACGATCAACTGCAAGAACTCGCGACACTCCTTGGCCAGAAAGGCAGTGCAGCTTGATCGCTGCCGTGTCTTGCGAAAAGACTGCAATGTGATCAAGTTCTGTTGCAAGCAGCACCTCGAAGACTGCCAAAAGGTTGCGAAGAAGGCCAAGCCCAAATCACGGACTGATGAGGCACTGAACGCCGAACAGTTCGCTGCCCTTTTTCTGGCGCTATGCGACTGCGGCTTCCCATGGGCCGGCGTGCTCATCCTGATCCAGCTTTTTCTGGGGGACCGAGCCGATTGCAGCCGGTCCTGCAGGGTGTCATGGCTGGTCAATGTCCTTTCTGCGGGAGCAGACGTTGCCGGTTTGCCCGCAATATGCATTCCGGACAATGTGAACGGCAAGACTGTCGGCGGGCAGCGGCCTTTGGACAAGTCATTTGCACGATTGCTTCGCGACTGGGTAGAGAAGGAGCCTCTTATGGGAGCCAAAGGCAGCCAGTGGCCACTAAAGAATCAAGACTTTAGCGCTCCAGATGCGTGCCTGTTCCCGGGGACAGAGCTGGCGACCCAGCGTCATGCTTGGGAAAGGCCGATTTCGGAGCGGGCGTATTTCGGGGCTCTGCGCAAGGCCGTCGACAGCATCGCTGTAGCAAGGAAGCACGACGAGGACCATGGACGACAAAACATATTTGCGGAGGTCGATCTGGCGCACATCGGAACACACACGGTCAAGAAGACCTGTGTGTCATTGCTTGCAGAGGCTGGTGCTACCATGGCTGTCATAAGTTCGATCACAAACACATCGGTGGCGGTTCTAAAAAAACACTACGACGTCCCAACAAACCTGCGCAAGCGTCGTGCGATCGACTGCGCCTTGGGTCCTGTGATTGCCGGGCTAGTCCAGCAGGATGCTGCGCCTGGCCCAAGTCGTCCTGCCGCAGGTACTTCTCAAGCAGTAGATGAATCTGCTAGATGGTGCCCTTTCTGTGGCAAGCAGCTGACCCCTGGCTGGATCTATTGTCACTTTTGCGGGGCCAAATTGCCCACCCAATGAGTCAGCCACACATCTGCGCACAGCGTATGTATGAAGCTTACTGTCAATATCTAAACTTAGAAGCCTGGGTTTCGATCTATACAACTTGACGTTGTGGGATATCTCATACGATTCAAAGTCTTGCTCTCAAGATGTTGGCAGATCGGATCAGGCATTGTACTGCCCGCGGATAGCTGACCACCGCGAGCACTGGTCAAAGAACATTAAAGGGGCCTTATTGTTTTGAAATAGAACTGAGTTGGACTCGCACCTGCCGTGCGGCACCGTTGAACCTGAAGTGTTTCACCGTTGGGTCTGAAGTGGCGTGCCTAGCGTGACCGCTGGCATCGACCTGGACCACGCGCATGATATCGCCCAGCTTCGAGCTTCATTAATTCAGACCCTGACCTTGCATCCCCCAAGTTGTTAAATTAAGAGCACTTGAATGATTGCTTCCGCCGTGAAAGCGCGATACATCGCCGAGAAGTGTAGTCTTCCGAATTTCATACAGAAACATTTCGAATCTTGAGGATGTCATGTAACCCACAGCAAATTCGCGACTCTGGAAATCTGCCGACTGCACGGCGAAAGGTATAGCTAATTGCAATCCATACAGTGGCCGTGGTCAGGGTTGTAAATAACTACAAAAGATGCTGTTTGGAAGCCGCCTCATCTTGGCCTGCTGCTCCTGTCGCTGATGGCCGCTGGACCTGGGAGGCTCGCTGACGATTCGGATTGTCAGTCTTTGGACGATAGTGCAGGCAGTCCACGTGTTGAGCTGTCTCTAATCGTCATTGCTTTTTCGTTTAGATTGCTGCCATCTTGTACTTGTATGTTTCCATGGTATCATGGATTAACTTTCCGATAGAAGTCGAATTACATTATATTTCAAGACATTCAAAACTAAGATGCCCCCTATATCCGATGGGCCCTGAACCCCTAAGCCTAGCTTTGTAGCACAACGACCAGCGTAGCAGCAGCAGCGGCGGCAGCAGGAGCAGTAGCAGTCGCCGGAGCCGCAGCAGTACGATTCGTAGGTGTACTGAGTGTACTGTATGTGGGTGTAGGCGCAGGTCGCAGGAGGAGGAGCAAGACTAGGAGTAGGACAATAATAGGAGTAGGAGTGGGAGTAGTAGCAGGAGCAGGAGCAGGAGTAGGAGTAGGAGTAGGAGTGGGAGTAGGACCAGGAGTAGGAGGCGGAGGGGTGGAGCTGTAGGTGTATAGACCGCATGGCTACTTGAACCCTGATGCCGCATGCCGATTCGATGCTTTTCACCAGGTGGCGGGCGATGCAAAATCCACACACTCCAGGCCATGATCATGTCATGTTACAGGTTCAGGAGGGCTCAGGCTGCAAGGCTAGTCAGTCGATGACGATGAGGTTTATCCGTTGCTTCATTTCATGGGTTGGGTGAGGGTTCGGGGTTTAGGCTGCAGATTTCGACTGCGCAATGCAATCAATCAATGTTTCTACAACCGTAGATGGTGGAGGCTTTGCCCGATGCTTGAGATATTCAGCCCGCGATTGGATGAGGGGTCGGGGATTAGGGGCTGGCTTCGACTCAAGGTTTCAGGGTGACGAAGTGGGGACAATGATGGTAGTCAGTGTCATGCCAACAATCGCTGATGGTGGAGGCTTTGGTTCCTGGTTGGGGTTGGGTTTCGGGCGAGGCCAGTTCAGGATTTACTTGCAGGGCTTAGACCATCACTACTCACTGCGAGTTCGGTAAGGGTTAGTGAAAACATTGCAGCTGTTGCCCCAAACCGTTTGTAGTCCTAGCCTCTAGCCTTGCAGCAGAAAGCGCACTCAGTGTCAGCCTGCCTACGGCAGTTCTTGTTTGACAGACATCTCGGAATTTCGAGCATGGATCATAGTGATGATGTCTTGGTCGTGGTCAACATCCGCAAACTTGAAGCCTTGATCACAATTGCGCTTGAGTATGTGAAGCCAGGTGCTGGCTTGGATGGCCGTGAGGATCTCCTCACGCCGCGCCCTCAAGTTCGCAGCATCGGTGATGCCGCTTTTGCACTCGAACATCAGCTGAGAAGCCACAACCATGCAAGCCCAGTCTGGCAACTCCTTCACAACGATCTGCACCAGCTGTTTCCATGGGGTTTTGTCGGGAACCATTGTGCATCGGTGAACAAGCACAACGTCGTTGCTTTTCGATTGCTTCTTGTATTGCACCCTGTAAAGGAGACTCCCATCCTCCGAGGCTAGCTTTCGTTCCTGAAACCAGAACTTCTCTTTGTCATTGGACTGACGCCGAGCCTGAAGCAGTGCAATATAACGTCAATCTGTCAGACTATTGACTTCTCAATTCGGGCCAGTGATAATTGCAATGCTGCAAGCTTAGCTGGCCTTCTTGTCGGACTTTTTGCTTGGCTTTGGGGCTTCGGCAGCGCCGGGGGCTTCCTGCATGCAACAAAACTACACCCGGTATCTTGTTACAAGCTTGGTTTATCTTGAAACATGCAGAGCCTTAAATCCTAAACGGAGCGTAGCATTAGGATTTCGGGCTTTAGTAGGGTTGTTAGGCGCGAGGTAAAGCTAAGTCAATTCAAGCTTCAGTCCTCGCCATCCGGGTCTTCACCTTGCCCTGCCTTGTCCTGCATCCAAGCTATTTCTGACGGGTTTCTCATCAGCAATTCGAGGCGCCTACTTACGATCTTTTCGATGCTGCATGTCCCGAGCCTGGTCCTCGGCTTGCCGGTCAGCGTGTACTCCTTCCGGCTCCTGAATCAACGACTGTTTTGCGCATCTTAGTTGGCATCGTTCTTCGGAGAAGGTTCCTCGTTGTCATGCAATGTAATCAATTTGAGGCACCACCTACTTTGCGACGCTGCATAGCCCGAGCCTGATCCTCGGCCTTCTCGTCAGCGTCTTTGCTGTCCATGTCCTGAGCCCGAAACTGTTTCCCAATGCGTGTGTTAGCTCGCATCGTTCTTTACAGCAGCTAGATTGAGGCCTTTGAAATTTGTGACACAGCACAATCAACTATTGGAGGTTCCTACTTTGCGATGCCGATCCTGGTCCACGCCCTGGCCGTCAGCGTTTTCGCTTGCCTTGTCCTGCTGCAGGAAAACTGTTTTTGACGGGCGTCTTAGGTTTGGGTTCTTGGGTTATGATGATTCATGTTGCGACTGAGAAGCTGTCAACCCGGGGACCGACAACAATAACAGTGTGAATTTCTTGAGCCGAACCCTTCCTCGAATGAGGCCTTAGTGCACATCGCAGCGGCGGCCTCGTCCCCAGCATGCAGCATCTCTTCCAGTGACAGATCCTTCGTTGATTGCAGGCGTGCTCGAGTGTTAATGTACGCAAGAGGCATTGATCTGGGGTGTCACGGTAAGCTTTGAAATGCTGTAGTTGTGATCCCTGAACACAGGCCTTGGGGTTTTGGGTTGTAGGGGTTCGTGGCGTAGGATTGAGTGATGGTTTGTTGGGTTTGATTCAAGGTCCATGATTTGTATGGGTTTGGGGTTGACAAATACATTATCTAGTAGACGCAAGTCAGTGCACTTCGCAAACCATGCCCCTAAACACTCAGCCCCAGGAGCCGGAGCAACTAAAACTGTAGATTCCTAAACCCCCGAAGCCCCAAACCGTAAACCCAAACCCCTGACCCCCTTAGACTTTCAAAACCTAAACCCGCGAACCCCAAACCCCTAAACCCGTAAAGCCCGAAACCCTTCAAACCCTGAATCTCAAGCGCTTACAAGGTCCTTCATGCCTTCGAAGTTGATGCCGGCTTCATCTTCTTCACCCAGGTCCTGAAGTGCATCGCAGTTGGTTTGTAGGACCTATAGGATCCCTGTAGACCTTGCAGTTCAGATTTCAGTACTAACGTTTTGAGTGTTTTGGCCGCTTGCTTCCCCTAAACCCCACATGCCCCGCGTCTCTCCTGCCGTCGCGAACATCTTGACTTAAGCTAACGAATGAAGCCACACCATGTCGCCCTGCCTCGTCCTCTTCGTCACTTACGAAGTCAGGGACGGGATTGTCGCTGGTAACGCACATGCCTGTTTCGCCACGCCATGTTGTCTTCGGCTTCTTTGTTGTCTTTGCTGTCGAAGAGTCGGCCATGGCGGGCCTTTTCAAGCATGCTTTGCTCTGGGCTGCTTTTGCCTTTGCCTTGCGCTGGGGCACCGGGTTTGGCAATGTCTCTTTGCTCACGTCCTCCTTGGCATTGGGGTCGCTGCTTCCAAGGCGCTGCTTTTCCGAAGCCGGTGTCTCACCTCATGGAAATTTCGGAGGCCTAGCTACCAAGTCCTCTGCAGGGAAGGAGTGACTAGGATTGTTACAGATAACTAGGTGTTCTTACTTCCAGGGACCCCTAGTGTAGGCTTGGCTAGACTGACTCACTGACTCGCTGACTTGGCTAACGCAGGAGACGTGGGCACTCTTCAAAGCGACGAGGAGGCCACCTGGGGCCTGCGAGCTAGGTAGAAAAATATTGAGGGGTTGGTTGGAAGGCAACCGAAATTGATTTCCCAACACTATTGTGTTTATAGCGGTGCTTGGGCCCCGACAGTCTGAGTCTGTGAGAGCATCCACACGAACATCTTGAAAGGTTCCCGCCGACATGACGGGTGGAAGATGGGGAGAGATAGTCACCCTTCTAGTTCAGATCTGAGCCGTGATCCTGTTTTGGGTTCAGTCCCGCAGCAGCCAAGCAACCACAAACAATCCCAAGATAGACACGCCAACCGATCTTGACGTGCGTTGGCACCTTTTCTCTCTGAGCAGGGATTGATTGGAGAAGCACTTTGCGCACTGCATGGCTCAAAAGCACCGCAACATGTTGTGTTTGTCGTGTTTAGGTTCTTGGTCCTAGGTATTGGGAATAGCGTTGGAGTGCACAAAACTTGCCACGAGTGTGACTGACACTTTGCTTCACTCCAAATGATACACGCGGCCTGGCACCATGTGCAGCTCGCCTAGCAACCAATATTTCGGCTTAAAAGCCTTCAAGGTCGGAGGAGGATTATGCGACAATTGCACTTCCCAAAGAATGCCT